AACATTTCTGTCACAACGGGCTGGTGCTAGTGAACCCAGTGGTGCAGGCAAGGACTCAGGACAGATATATAAAATAAAGAATTTATTAACAAAACAGAAGAGCTGACAGGGTAGTAAAACAAACATAGAATGATCAGGGAGTACTTACGATACAAACAGGTCATCACCAGTGAACAGAAGACAATGCCAGGATGAGGTGTAAGAGAAACACACAGGCTTAAATACAGGAAACACCAATTAGACAAAGTGAAGACACCTGTGAGTAATCACAGATGCCAAAGAAAGAGACAGAGGATGCAAGACATAAACAAGACAGAAGATGGAGCTAGATACAAAAAAAAAAAAAAAACTATAATGATAGAAACAGAGGATATGGGGAACACAGACAAACACAACACCACATGGGGTTAGACAGCAGGAATGAAAACCACAACTCCTACAGTTTCAACAAAGAAGAATCCATCCAGAGGACCTGACTCATCTTTGTCAGAAAAAGAGAAGATATTTATCTAAACCTGAGTTTGATTTTTGTTGAGTTTCATCCTTAGTTTGGAGAAACGGTAATTAAATAAGAAACAATTCCACAACGTCTGAAATCTTTTTTTTTTTAACCAAACAACAACAAATGATTAAATATTTCCTTGGTCTCAGCAAAGGGAAGCAGTTTTTAAAAAGCTGTTAATATAATTGATATTATATTTATATTCTGATACTTAAATAAAGGCTGGGTCCTTTATTCATCTAGAATGTTCTTTAACTGTTTGCAGAAATCTGGTGTTAAAAACAGTTACTTCCACGATAAAAACCTCTTAATGACCGTCACAAACCTGTTCATCGCCGGCACTGAAACCACATCCACCACGCTCAGATGGGGTCTTCTCTTCATGGCCAAATATCCAAAGATACAAGGTAAAAAGCCTGATTCAGCTAAAACTTCCCTGAAGAGCAGCCAGATCCACAGTGTGTCCATAGATTAAAGCCGAGCTGTTTAAATATGTCTGTGTGAATAGCTCAGCTAATCTTGTCTTGTTTCATCAACAAGACCAGGTCCAGGAGGAGCTGAGGAGGGTCATAGGAGATCGTCAGGTGCAGGTTGCTGACAGGAAGAACCTGCCTTTCACCGACGCCGTCATCCATGAGACACAGAGACTGGGCAACATCGTCCCCAACGCACTTCCCCACAAAACCAGCAAAGACATTGTCTTTCATGGATACTTTATTGAAAAGGTGAGAAAGTAAACTAAAGCTGATCTGAATAAACAAAACAAATATGTCATTCCCATTTTAACCAGTTTTTCAGATCGGTTTACTTATTTTTAGATATTCTTCCAAATCTTAAAAAAACAGGTTACTCAGACCCATCTTGTTTTTACCACAAATGAAAGAGACTAGAACAAGTAAAAGATTGACTATGAAAAAAAACCTCAGCTGTTTGTTTTGTTGCCAGTACAGTGCAACAGTAATGCTCACGTGTTGTAAAAAAAAAAACTTTTAAAGGTAAAATTAGTGTCAGATTTAAAAAAAGGCTTTAGACAACTGTATTTTGTACTTGTATTTTGCAGAATAAAGCATTTTGTTAATGTGAAAAAACAAAAAATCTTTAAATTAAACTACTAATGTGGCTTTTCATCATGCAAGCCTGTGAGTGCCCAGATAAATAATGTTAACTTATTTTTAATGTCCCGTATTTTTGGACTTTAAGGTGCACTTAAAATCATGTGTACCTTATGTATTAATTCTGTTTGTGCTTATTGACCTCGAGACGATTTTATGTGGTAACTGTGAATGAGTTGAATAAAGTTTGACTTATCTGTTTTGTTTCTCTTAATGCACCTTATAATCTGAAGTATACAGTGTATGAATGTTTCTGTTCCGTGTCCTGAGATGACTTCTGCTGTGACTTTATGCTTATATAAATGAACTGAATTGAATTGTGTAATTGTTCAAGTCTAAAACTGTTATTTTGTCCGATTTATTCTGAGTTGACTGTTTTGTTCAATAACAGTTGTATTTTTTTATCTTCAGTGTTTCTACTTGACTTTTTCACTGCAGTTCTCATTTTATTTCATGACACATTTTTACAGTAGAACATTTGTTTAAAAAGTGACAACTGCAGCTTTAATTCCAAGACAAATGCCGTTTTCAGGCCAGTTTCTGTTTGTTTTTGCAGGGAACTGCAGTTTTTCCGTCCCTGACGTCTGTCCTGCACGATCCCAGTGAGTGGGAGAAACCAGACACCTTTCATCCGGCTCACTTTCTGGACAAAGATGGGAAATTTGTGAAGCGAGACGCCTTCATGCCGTTTTCTGCAGGTTCGTCTGAGTTCAGACATCTTTACCAAAGCTGCACATCAGACGTCCACAGATTTTCTGTTCGTTCATTCACTGCAGGGCGCAGGATTTGTCTTGGAGAGAGTCTGGCCAGGATGGAGCTCTTCGTCTTCTTCACCACCCTCCTGCAGCATTTCCGTTTCACTCCTGCTCCTGGAGTTTCACCAGAAGATCTGGATCTGACTCCATGTGGGGTCTTGACTCTCAACCCTTCACCTCACAAACTCTGTGCTGTTTCCCGAACGTGAGAGAGGAGACGAGTTCTTTAACTCAATCATTTTAATTTAGTTCAGTGCATCAATACTGATGAAAATAATGCACTTCATAAATGAATACTCACTGTAAAAATGATCATAATCAATAAAGTGCTGCACCAGTGTGAGTCTGTATCTTTTCTTTTTGCATAATAAAGATCTCCACATTGAAACTTTAAAAGTTTCAGACAAACCGTGATCAGTCCCAGTCTGTGATCTGGACTTGTAAAGTGGACCAAGACAAACTGTAGATCAGAGAAACATCCAGTCTGATGCTAAAAGGAGCTGAGTCTAAAAGCAAAAGTCTCGATGTAATAATCCACCTAATTTCCATGATTCCCCTATGATTATAAATGTTGAATTAAAAGCAAAACATTCCAGAGATAAATGGCTTAAATATGTCGCTTTTATTTGTTGTTTGAGCCTTGAAAAGATGGTGAGAAGTTCTTTGATTTGAAGTAAGACCGGAGCAGAGCCGCTGTTCTTTTACAACAAATCAAGTCAGTTGAGTTTGTTTGCAAACCAAACGCTTAAACAACAAAAACAATGTATTATTAAAAGGCAAAAAATACAAAAGAGTTGTAAGTAAAAACTTAAAAGCAGCTAAGGAGAATGCCCGTTTAATGTGCACAGTCAATTGGTTCAACAATTTTGGCCCCACCACCCCAAAAGCCCGGTCTCCCATGAGATTATACCTGGTGTCTGGTTGAGTCAGGAGCAGCTGATCCAGGGTGATCGTCACTCACGATCTACCGGTCGATCTCAAAGGCATTATGAGTAGATCGCATGGCAATAAAAAAACAGATGTCAGACGATCATCCATTAAATTTGTCTCTTGATTGACAGCCAGCGCAGCCAGTCTGAGACCTCGTTTACACGACGTGAGACGTTCGTTCATTTACAGACAACATCTTCGTTCTCTCTGAAACCAAAGGTTTCTGAATCCAGGTCTCACAGTGGAGGTTTTCAGGGGAACCCTCCCACAGAGGAGCGAGATGCTCCAAGTGTGAAGTAGCACATGCACACTCCATGCAGCTGCAGTCCAAAGTTTTTCTGCATGTAGGAGCAAAACTAATAAAATCCAGGGTCCAAAGAGACGTTAGTGTATTCACCAGTTTGGACTAACTGTCATGCAGACACTGCGTGCACGATGAGAGTGCACTGGTCAAGGTTGCCAGATGAATGTAAAATGTCTTATTTACCTCCTTCTTTTCTGTGCACATGATCAACCAACACAACACCTCATCTTAGAATATCTTTACTCAGCACATATGACAGTTTAGGTCAAAATACTATCATTTTATAGTGACAATACTATAGTTTATCATTTCTTATTCGACAAGCCGACTGACATGGAAACTACAGCGTTTTTGTGTCAACCTGCTCCATTTTTTGTTTATTACTCCCAACAGACACTGAAAAAACGCTGTTAAAGATGTGAGCTGGCTGTGGACACCGGATCCGGAAACCCCCTCAAGCCCACGTTTTTACCCCCGGCTCGAACCTCCCTCAGAAGTGGCAACTATACTAATCAATAAATCAAGGAAACGTCAATTAAGTTTTACCAATTATATTAGAAAAAGGCAGGAAAAGATTACAATTTCACAGCGCTGGACTCTACACAATCTGCTACGCGTTCACAGATCTGGAAGCATGTAACATGAAACACCTTGCAACAATAACTGAAGCTGTCCACCTTAATTTCTTTCGGGAATTTCAAACATTTGATAAGGTTAATAGAAACATCAAATACGTTCTTGTTTTTAGTATTTTACCTTGTTTTATTTGGCACCTTGATTTGATTTATTGTTTCATACCACTACTTTGTAATTGCTTTATAGTGCGGTTTATTGTGGTCTGTACTTTACATGTTGTTTGTCTAAAACAGGTCTCTCTTGTAAATGAGTCCTCGTGACTCAACGAGTCCAACATGGATAAATACAGGTTGAATGAATGAAAAGATGGGGCCTTATAGTAGGTGCACAGGCTTTATGACTTTTCTTCAGGGACCTCTCCACTCTAGGTCAAGTGACCACAGAGCTTCAGTTACGTGTTGGAAAAATGGATTTGTTGTTTGCAAATGATGTCGCCGTGGTAACTTGTAATGTCAATAAACGCAATAGTACACATCACGGCGCCGAGCCGGTCATTTTGATATAAAACTTGTGGATGTGCATATTGAGGTCGAGTCTGCATTAAAGTTGATATAAGAGTAAGATATAAAGTTAAGAAACCCGAAGTCAGGTGGATAATAATAGGTGCTGCCTGAAGGCAGTCCCCAGTTAATAATTAGCTGTGCTTGTTTCCTTTACATTTTTACTGTTGATCCCTCCCACTATTAGTTAAAACAACTGAGCCGTCTCTCGAGGCATCAGTTCAAACAAACACTTTTGACTTTCGACTCCGTCTGAACATCATGGCGATTCAAAACATTTTGCTGCAGACGTTCAGTTCTTTTTCAATATTTGGGGCTCTAATACTTTCGCTGCTCATTTATTTGATCGTTTTATTCACTACAAGTTCTGGAGAGTCCAGGAAGGAACCACCAGGACCCACACCTCTTCCTATATTAGGAAACCTGCTGCAGCTTGATCTAAAGAAACCCTACAACACGTTGATGGAGGTGAGAAACTTACAGCTGTTTTCTAGAAAAGATCCTTGTTTTTATACACCTGCGGTGTTTCTTGTGTTTAAAACCCATTTGCAGGAAGGACACAGAGAACTCGGGATTTTACGTAAAATATCATTTAAATAAGAAAAAGCAAAAACTGACGTGGCAGCAGAAACTTACATTAGCTCAGAGGAGACAGACAAGACAGAGGACAGGACCATAAAACAAAAGCTTCGACTCTTGTTTCAAACCCTGAAGTACAATTACATCAGAAAGCTGCGGAGGAAGTTATGTGACACGTGACGTCCGAAATACAAACTGGTTCATGTTGGAATGAATCACTTGACGGGTTCGCGATCCAATCAGCTGATTCCCTGGCACTGCCTCGTCTGGACTCTTGACAGGTGACTGGTTGAAGCAGTTTTGACTTTGGCTGCACTCCACCGCCACTAAAAAATCGTTATGAGAAGTGAGCAGTGAGTTGGGAGAGGCCCTTTTGTTGTTGTGTTGTTGAGATTGCCCTTGTAAACATTTTATTCTGGCCCTCAAGATGAAATTTTAAATGCAAGTTATTTTCATCACTTTTTATTTTGCTTTAAAAACTACTTCGTTTAGTTCAGACTTCTCTTGACAGCTGGCCAACCTCGAAGCCCAAAAGATTTACATTTTCAGTCATCTTTAATTTTGATGTGAACAAGGGGAACACTGCACGATCAAACTCTTGCTGAGGAACCTGCAATCAAGAACGAACGTCAGGTTTTTGACCTGAGTTTATGTATCCATTGAAACTGGGCCCTGGTTTGAACCATTCATTATGTAGCTGAGCTTGACACCCCAATAGCATTACAGTCAAATGCTGTTTATGATTTTTGTACTTATAAGGCTGTATGGACTCAAGTTTTATTTTGACATGACATGACAGATCCACCACTGGACAGATCAGAACACCCACTGGTGTACTGGCTAAACCATCAACATGTGTACCCACATCTGTTCACACTGGTGAGGCATTTTTTATGCATGCCAGCATCATCTGTCAAGTCAAGTCAAGTCACATTTATTTATATAGCACATTTAAAACAGTAACTGTTATCAAATTGCTTACCAAAAAAGATAACAGCATCAAATATTAATAACAACATATTACAGCAATAAAAGCATAAAAACATTAAATATAATGAGAAACAATGAAATACTAAGTCAAATCACCCTGCGTTAAATGTCAGGGAGTAAAAGCAAAAATGGATTAACACAATCATCAACAATGAAATACCAAATGAGATCACACTTTGTTAGATGCCAATGAGTACAGATGTGTTTTGAGGAGAGATTTAAAAGTAGAGACTGAGGTGGCCTGTCAAATGTTGATGGGCAGATTATTCCAGAGTTTAGGGCCCATGACTGAAAACGCCCGATCTCCTCTGAGCTTCAGTCTTGTTTTAGGTATGGCCAAAAGCAGCCGGTCTGATGATCTCAAAGCCCGAGAAGGAGTATAAGGATGAAGGAGGTCGGAGAGGTATGAGGGTGCAAGGCCATTAACACACTTAAATGTCAGCAGAAGAATCTTAAAATCAACTGTGACACACACAGGAAGCCAGTGAAGAGAGGACAGAACTGGAGTAATGTGCTCAAACCTGCGAGTTCCTGTTAGTAGCCGAGCTGCAGCATTTTGGACGAGCTGGAGACGTGAGAGAGAGACCTCACTAACCCCAACATAAAGCGAGTTACAGTAGTCCAGCCAGGTTGTAATAAATGTATGGACTAATTTTTCAAGTTCGGATCTGGACAGGACGGACTTAAGCATTGCTATCTGCCTTAGCTGAAAGAAGCTTTTTTTGAAGAACAGAATTTATCTGCTTATTAAACTTAAAGTCCGAGTCTAAAACTATCCCGAGATTGGTAACAGACTGTTTTAGATATGGCTGAAGGGAGTCCAGGTTTGCAGGATCAGTGACAGTGGCAGAGGTAGGGTTAAACACAATGACCTCAGTCTTCTGATCATTAAAACTCAAAAAGTTCGCAGCCATCTAAGTCTTGATGTCATCAAGACATTTTAACAAAGGGCGAATGGAGGAGGAACTGTTAGGTGTTAACGGCAGATAAATCTGAGATTCATCAGCGTAACAATGAAAGGAAAGACCATGTTTCCTCAGGATAGACCCTAAGGGGAGGAGATACAAAGAAAACAGAAGGGGTCCAAGAATGGAGCCTTGCGGGACCCCGCAGGAAAGAGGCACTGAAGTAGATAGAGTGTTAGCAAAATTAACACAGAAACTCCTGTCGCTCAGGTATGAATGGAACCATTCTAACGCTGCACCAGTAATCCCAACCCAGTGTTCTAGGCGGGATAAAAGGACACTGTGGTCCACAGTATCAAATGCAGCGGTAAGGTCAAGGAGTACCAGGACTACAGACTGACCAGAGTCATTTGCCAGAAGAAAGTCGTTGCAGACCCTAACTAAGGCTGTTTTGGTGTTGTGTAGTTTCTTAAAGCCAGACTGAAAGATCTCAAGAATATAATTTCCACTCAAGAACTTGTTTAATTGAGTGAAAACTATTTTCTCCAGGATCTTAGAAAGAAAGGGAAGTTTGGAGATGGGTCTGAAGTTTGAGCAGGTTGAAGGGTCAAGTCCGGGTTTTTTTATTAAAGGAGTTAACACTCCATGTTTAGAAGCATCAGGAACTACACCTGTAGCCATACTGCTGTTTATAATGTCAAGAACAGAGGGTCCAATGGAGGGTAGGACTTGTTTAAAAAACGATGCAGGGATGGGTCAGCAGGGGAACCTGAGGGTTTCATATGACCAATGACGTCATTTAGAAATGAGAGGGAAATGGGTTCAAACTGGTTAAAGACTGATGTGGAGGGGACAAAGACAGAGGGGTCAGCTGTGGTGTGAGGAATCAGTGACCTGATTGACTCAACCTTTTTAACAAGGAAACTGGCAAAGTCATCACAAGTAACTGCAGAGACCTCCCTGTGGGCAGACTGAGGCACGGTTAAAATGGAGTTAATGGTGGATTGTGGCTGTTTGAGGCGATGATTTAGGAGAAATATTTGTTTTTTCTGATTTAACAGTGGCCTGGTACTCTTTGTAACATGATTTTAGCATGATAAAAGAAACGTGAAGTTTGTCCTTCTTCCATTTACGTTCTGCTTTCCTGCATTGACGTTTGGCTGCGCGAGTGATCTCATTCATCCAAGGGTGTGGAGTGCGCTTTAGATGCCTAATTTTTAATGGTGCAACTAGGTCAAGCACCTTAGCACAGGTCTCTTGATGTACAGTGACTAGCTCATGGGTGTTCATGGAAGAGGATTCACAGACTGAGAGAGAATTTTTAGTAAAAGCAGATGAAAAGAGAGCAGCAGTGGAAGGGTTAAATATTCGACAAGGCCTGGCTGGAGGGGGAGGGGGTTTGGACTCGTTGACAAAAGAAGTGTTGAAAGAAATGGGTTTGTGGTCAGAGAAAACTGCATCCCCAATTTCTAACTCAGAAACAGATAAACCAAAGGTATACTACAAAGTTCAGAGACTGGATCAGATTTAGAAAGTCCTGAGTCAGCGGCTTTTCAGGGCAACAGACATGTATATTGAAATCTCCCAGAATCAAAACCTGATCATATCTGAGCACAATCCAAGTTAAAAAGTCAGAGTTCAACCATGAAGTCCTTATTATATTTGGGTGGCCTGTATAACAGCAGAAAAAACAGGATTTTAACGGCCCACCTCAAAACACAGCAGTTCGAAGCTCAAAAAAATTTGCTGGTATCTATACCAGTTTGCAGTTCCATCGTTTTTTGAAAATAGTTAATAATCCACCACCTTTGCCTGATGTTCTCGGAGCATTAAAAATAAGAACAGTCCGGTGGTAAAATTTCCGACAAGGCCATGAACTCACCACAGGAGAGCCACGTCTCAGTCACGCAGAAGAAGTCCAGACCGGTGGAGGAGAAAAAGTCCTTCAAGATGAACGTTTTATTAGCCAGAGACCTGACGTTTATCAGGGCAATCCTTGTAGGAATCACAGCAGGAGAAGTTGTCCATGAAGTTAAGACCAGCGGTCTCAGATTTGTGGAGTTCGACCCGCGACTCCAACGACCGGAAGCCCAGCCGCAGCGAACAGGTCTGCTGTGGAAGCGCGACCCGACCCGTTGGACCGGAAGGGACTCAGGTGGATCGGCGCAGCACCAGGACAGGTGATTTAAGATGTGGTCCTCTGTTGAAAAGGAAGCCGCAGCAGCAGCCCGGCAGGCTTTGATCCTCACAAGATGGCCGGCCCGTTTTCCACGGCGTCTGGAGCGATATCTTCGAGTGGGCAGGATACCACGGCGGAGGTAAACAGGAACGTCGTCAAGCAGAGGTGGGGGTCCAAGAGGGGGTCCAGAGTTACTATAATTATGATCAAACAAAGCGAGACTGGTGGCAGATAGTCGGAGATTTAGGAGTTGATGACGTTCATAAACCAGCAGTGAGTCGATGTTGTAGCTGAAAAATGACAAAAACAGAAAAAGCACAATCACTGCAGACAGAGGTGGAGGGCAGATCATGCACAGCGGCACCATCTTTCCGGAACTGTCCCCTGCGAGCGAGTATTTTCCAAGGTTGTGAGCAAAATAAAGAAAAGAAACCGAGTCCTAAAACTGTTGAAAAACTGATGATCCTCAATAAACCTTTGATGGTTTCCAGTCTTTGCACTGTTTTCCACAGGGACTCTGGATTTCTCGTTGTCATTTCATTATGTCTAACAAAGATAAAGACCCTGATTCTGTCATAGAATCAGAATCAGAATAGGTTTTATTATCATTGCATCGAGATACAATGAGAACATGTACGTACAGTTGTCCGAAAGCTGGGCGGAGTGCACGAAGCTGCTTCTATGAAAGCGCGGCCCTCTTCTTCTTATTTAGTAACACAAGCACACCAATACCATGCCAGTTTGGATGCACAACAATGCACATTCAATCTTTATTTGAACATAGAATATGTAAACATCAACTTTTAAAACCAAATAGTCCAAGTGAGTTCATAGAAAGTTGCTACATAACTGAAACTGTTCTCTACCAGAGTAAAGTAGCTTCTTTAAAACTCTTCATTAACGATAAAGGTATTAAATCACTTCTTGGTCTGCTGCCTTCATACATCTCCTCCTACATGTCTCTGTGTGAGTGCAGCTACAGCGTGCGCAATCAGGACATCATTACCTGCAGTGTTCCCTCAGTGAGGACTGAACTAGACAAAAGGACCTTCTCCTACTCCACTCCTGTTTCCTGGAATATCTTACAAAAAGAACTGAAGCTCTCAACCTTTGACCTCTCTAAGTGACTTTAAGAATCTGTTGGACTCCTGGCAGGGACCAATGCAGACATGTTCCTGTTTTTAGTTTTCTACATTCGCTTTAGAATCTACTCTGTAGCTGTTTTTTGTTACTTTTCTTTTTTTTTTTAGCCTTCTTAATTGTAAAAAAAATTAAAAAATAAATGTGTATGACTATTTATAACTGTTTATTGTTGTCGCTGTTGTCTATTGTTGTCATCATTCTTTGTTGAAATCAGGTCTCTTGTAAATGAGTCCTCGAGCCTCAATGGGATTAACGTGTCTAAATAAAGGTTGAATGAAAATTTGGGTGTGTGCAATGAAGTCAGATCACCTGATTTAACTGCAGCCTTGCAGGTGACCAGGAGAGGTGACTGTAACTGAAGCTTCAAAACATGAACCAATTTTTGAAACATTTGTCCCTGGTGGTTCAGTGCTTCATGAAGCTTTATCTCACCATCATTACCAGACACCACGAATGAAACAATGACGAGACAAGGAGAAACACTCAGACGCAGACTTAAATACAGAGACGCTGAAGAGACCAAGTGCAAACATCTGTGATGCATCACAGGTGTGGAAGACATGGAGTGATTAGAAGGAAGGAGCAGGACTGCAGACACACCATGGGGCACAATCCTCACACTTTGATGGTTGTTGGTAAACTTTCTCTTGTCCTGCGCATAACTACTGATTTGCTCAAGATAATTTAACAAAACAGGATACACGTTTTATACCAGCACTAGACAGTGTGGCATATAATTTATTCATCACCCCAACTCTAAGGTTAAAGTCACAAATCAAGGTCTAGAGACTGATGAGAAGGTCTTTGGATGTCTGGTCCATTGCTATAGATTGCTGCATTGTTATTTTTAATTTGTTGACTGACGTATCATGTGTTGTATACTGTAGTCTTGTTAGTTTTGTTGTGCACAAAGTCACAGTATATAATTTTTTATTTTTTTGCCAGTTCTCTAAAAAATATGGATCAGTCTTCACTGTGTATCTTGGACCCAAAAAAGTTGTGGTCCTGGCAGGATACAAGACGGTGAGGGAGGCACTTGTTACCTACGATGAGGAGTTTGGCGAAAGAGATGTGATGCAAATTTTGGATGACCTCAACCAAGGACACGGTAAGGACAGAACTGGTTTTACTTGTTTTGGGGCTTTTAAGAAAAATAAGAATTCATCAAGCTGAATGTTTCATTCAAGGTGTGATATGGACCAATGGTGACACGTGGAGAGAGTTACGTCGCTTTTCATTAACCAACTTGAGAGACTTTGGAATGGGCAGGAAGGCATGTGAGGACAAAATCACAGAGGAATGTCACCATCTCATTGAAGTTTTGAAAAATCACAAAGGTAAAATTACTGGGTTAACCAAGGTAGGTTGATAAAACACAGTTTTAAAAGGTACTTACAGATTTTTATTTATTTATTTACTCAGGAGAAGCTTTTGATACAACCCAGTCCTTGAACTATGCAGTCTCTAACATCATCTCATCCATGATCTATGGAAGGAGATTTGAATACGATGATCTGGAATTTACATCAATGGTAGATCGAATGAACACATGGGCTAAAATGCTCAACTCACCTTCAATCCAGGTATGACTGAACACTTCTCTGTTTTATACTTATCCTTACAATAAATAAATAAAAAAACAGCTCTCAACTCATTCACATTGAAATCAAACTTCTCTTTTGCAAAACAAATATCTGCAAATAAAAATTAAAGATATAGTTTAATCCCATGCTTGTTACTGCCACACTGAATGTATACAACTTCACAGGTGTACAATACATTTCCATCGTGTTTTAAGTGGATCGCCAACAGGAAGGAGTTATTCAAGATCCGCGCTGCCAACTGGAAACAGAACTTCACCCTGTTTGATCATTTGAAAGAAACCCTGAACCCAGAGATGTGCAGAGGTTTTGTGGATGCCTTTCTGGTCCACAAGAAAAAACTGGAGGTTTGTGTTTTGTTTTACTATTTTTTTATTTTTTTTTTACAGAGAAATGAAAAAGGTGTGTGAAAACATCTGGTATGAGGCATGTAACTGTAAAGGCGGCCAACAACTTTGGTAGAAGGGAGAACATGCAGAAACTTCACACTGAAGGGTTGCAGTGACGTTTTGAAAGTGAAACCTTACTGCTCACAGTTCAAGATAGCCGCCGCAATAATGGAGGTGCAGAACATAGCTCGCTTGGATTCGATGTCCACCATCTTTGTTGGAATGCAGCTCCCACAGAGGTGGGAGCTGAAGATCCTTCTGATGATTTATTCTGCCAGGCATGATCAGAAAACCCTCAAACACGTTTGGGTCGAGTTCTCAAGATGGTGGCAGAACGTTTTTCCTGCTGGCTCTGGTGGAAATTTTTTCTGAAATTGGTGTCATCGCCGGATTGGTCCGACGAAGCTGTAATATGGTCTTTAAATAAAAAATTAAAGACAGTGATGCCCCCACCCGCGAAGCCCTGAGATACGGGTTTATCCCCGGTCCACAGTGAGCCTGGTGTGGCAGGCGGGATGACTTCAACAGGTGCGTTGCCCCTGCACTCGCCGGGCTCTGGAGACAGTTGGGTCATCTCTGAAGTCAAATTATCTGAATTTAAGTAAGTCTGAAGTCACAGTGATAATTAGGATGGAAATGAAGGCAGCCCTCACAGATGAGTCTGAAAGATGGACGGAGTGCACGTTGCTGCTGCTATGACGGCGCGGCCCCTTATTCTTTATCAGAATACTTTTAGATAGAAAAAGGTAAAAGGCCATGAGGATGGAAAGTGGCATTACTAAAAAGATCTCTTCACATCTTGTTCTATCAGGACATGATTTAAGACATCAAAAAAATCTGCCTGCAGCTCATCATAAACACATTACATATGCATTTGATGTCAAGACATTAAGATTTGTCCATGAGCACTTTCAGATAGGCCATGGTCCTGATGTTGTTTCAGCCAGCAGTTCTGATAAGCCTGCACAGAAGTTATTGTGGGGGGTTGTGAATGACAAAGCTTTGTTCCTAGTTACCCATTCCTAGTTACCCATGTCCCAGGAGAAATTTGATAGCTTGTATCCGAGGCCAAACAGGGGAGTCAGATTCAGATAAGCCACAATTCTTGATTTTCTTCAGGCAGACTGTTTTTTCTTGTCAGCCTTGAGTCCTGCTGGAAAGATGATTTACATAAACAAAGCTGGAAAGACGTGTATGTTGATGATGTGATTAGATCATATGATGAGTTTATGAATATTTTAGGAGCTCTGTATGAAAAGAATTGTGTGCAAAATAATTGTACAAAGAGAAATGTTGTTGACCAACCATGGATGACGAAAGGGTTGAGAAATGCTTGTAAAAAAAAAATAATTATTTGTATACATGTTTCTTGAAATTGAGAACACAAGAGGCCGAAGAGAAATATAAGAAGTATAAAAATAAATTGGTAGCGATTATAAGGAAACACAAGAAGGAATATTATAGTGATTTATTAAATAAAAGCAATGGTGATATGAAAGCAACATGGCAAGTAATAAATAGTGTTTTGAAAAGTCATAAAGCAAAAACAGGTATTTCACAATATTTTCTGAAGGATGATGATGTCAATCCATGATGAAAATGAAATTGTAAATGGATTTAATCATCATTTTGTGAACGTTGGATCAAGCCTTGCAGCTAAAATACCAAAAGTAGACAATAATGTGAACCATTCAGTTATAAGTTGTGACAACAGTATTTTTCTTAATGGAACTGACAAAGAAGAAATAATGAATGTTGTAAAGAATCTTACAGATAAGAGATCAAAAGACTGGGTGGACATGGATATGATGTTTGTAAAGGACATAATGAGTTATGTTATCGAGCCGTTTACATATATTTGTAATTTATCATTTTCAAAAGGAATATTTCCAGACAATATGAAAGTAGCAAAGGTAGTTCCTCTCTTTAAAAATGGTGATAAATGTGTGTTCAATAATTATAGACCAATATCCTTATTACCACATTCTCAAAAATTCTAGAAAAACTATTTGTGACCAGATTAGATAAATTTATTACTAAACAAAACATTCTAAGTAGCAGTCAGTATGGGTTTAGAACAAAAAACTCTACATCAATGGCTCTCATGGAAATAATAGAACAAATAACTACTGCTGTCGATCAAAAACAGTATTGTGTTAGTATTTTTGTTGATTTAAAAAAAGCATTCGATACTATTGACCACACTATTCTCCTTGAAAAATTAAATAAATATGGTATAAGAGGACCAGCATTACACTGGGTATCTAGCTATTTAAAAGATAGGAAACAGTTTGTACAAATAAATGGTGGAAGATCTGACCTGTGCAATATCACTTGTGGAGTTCCTCAAGGCTCTGTACTTGGACAAAAGTTGTTTATTTTATATATGAATGACTTGGTGAATGTATCAGGACTCCTCAAATGTGTCCTTTTTGCAGATGACACCACATTTTTCTGTTTGGGTAAAGATGTAAAACGGATGTTGGAATTGATGAAGACAGAATTTGATAAAATACAAACTTGGATTAAACTTAATAAATTATCATTAAATTTAGATAAAACTAAATACATGATATTTAGTAACAAAAAGAAAACTGTTGATGATCCATTTAAAATTGAGGGTGTTGAGATTTGTAGAGTTAATGAGATGAAATTTTTGGGTGTAATCATTGATGAACAGCTAACATGGAAAAATCACATAAATTCTTTAAGAACAAAAATATCTAAATCTATTGCAGTACTATACAAAGGTAGACCTTCCCTTCATACTAGTTCTGAATTTTGGTTTGACAAATATCTCTATCCCCTTAAGATTGTAACAACTTTGTCTTTAACAAAATTTCTTTGGATATTTAATGGTAATGTGCTATTTTGTGTCACGAATCACGTCTGTCAGTTAGGTTTTTGTGTCACTCTGTTCA